TTACCTATAAGATTATTTCTTCAATTCAACTTGAAAACCCAATAATTATACACCTAACAAAAAGCAAATCAATAATCCTACACCAACACAAAGCAAACCAAAGTGTAAAAAAAAATAAAAAAATTTTAAAAAAAATCGATTTCATCAAATTATTTCTTTAGTTTTGAAATTATACCTTTCAAAATACAATAATTGTATGTCTAACACAAAGCAAACCAAAATGTTAAAAAATAAATAAATAAATAAAAGACAATTTCAGAAGGAAAAAAAAAACCACTAAAATCAATTTCAAAAGGAGGAAGATGGCAGGGGCGGCTTTGAGGAAGGAGGAAGACAACGATGTCGGAAAAAGCAATTGATGGGAGAAGAAGCAGGTGACGGCATCATCAACGGAAGAAATAGGTGCGTCGGAAAGTCGGGCGGCAGAGGCAACAAGGAAGCAGAAGGTGGTTGGTATAATTTTTTGCAGCCTAAAGGTGTGTTTAGTTGTGGAAAATTGTTTTCTTTTTCTAAGAAAATGTTTTCAGAAAATAGAGTTAGGTTTTTATTTTCAGTTTTCAATGAAATTTTAGAAAACACGTTTGGTTGGAACCGGTGAAATTTTAATTTTTCATCTAACAAATTTAAAAATTTTGGAAAACTATAAAAGTCATTTTTTTAATTTACATACAATTTGAAAAATAGAAAATTTTCATTTTCTTGGAAATTTTTTGAAACTAAACTAACCAAACGTGTTTTCAAAATTTTCATTTTCATTTGAATGGAAAACTAAAAAAAATTGCAACCAAACACACTCTAAGGTACTGTTTGTTTTTTTTTTTCTAAAAACCCATTTCTGACCATTTATTGTTGTGTCGCCCAGCACACGCGCAACACCTGACCCTTCGCAGTTGTTTGTTTTTCAGAAGACTTATGACTTAAAACAAACAAACTTTTTATTACATGTTGCAGCCGTTTGGTCCCCCTCTTCTGTTACAGAGGGTTGCAGAGATTGTCCGTAGACTTTATGACATTTTCGCTTCGAAAAAACAACCAACACCTAAGAGTTTAGAGAGAAAATTCAATACAAGCTTCTAAGAAAAAGGTGGGGATGTTTGCAGGTTAATTTGTAATATGGGGACAAAACTGCAAAAATGGTCCCTGTGGTATGTATTTTTTTAGAGTTTTAATCCAAACCACGACTTTTTTGGATTGATGGTCCTTTTGGCTATGTTTGTACGTAGATTTGGTCCCTCGTAAAGTTGAAATGGCTGTAATGCCCTTTTGATATATATATATTTTTTATGTTTTTTCTATTTAATTAAAATGAAAAAGAAAATAAATAATTAATTTGGGCCCTACTCTCTGTCTCTCTCTGTCTCTCTCACTCTCTCACTCTCTCTCAACACCTCACACATATTGGATATTAAAAATCACACAAACATATACTGATGGCCATTAACACTTCTTCTCTTAAACCCAACATCAAAATACTCCCTTTTCTTTAATCAAATTATTCCCCATATGCGATATCACACATGTATACTCCTATAATAACTTGATTTTAACAACATCATCTTTACTGGGTATCTTTGTAAATATTAGGATCGGGTGGATCTAGTATCTTGTATGTAAATTCACCATATTATTCTTCGCCACAACCACCACCACCACTAATATTACACCACCACCACCGGAAACGAAGACCTGAAACTTGAAATAATGTCTGGAACAATCAAGAAAACTTAATTATGAAATCTAACATGAAAATGGTTCCTTTAATAAAAAGTACAAAAAACCCCACGTGCTCTAACCCATAATGTAGACTTTGCCAATGTTGTGTTATATGCTTTAGTGTCGTACCCACTTGCAGAAAACTAGAGCACAACTACCATATTTGAAGATGAACCAAATATAGAAATCATAACAAATTAAAAGGGCGACGGTGCAAGAGGGTGAGGGAAGATCCATGGCCAAAGGAGACGAAGGGGCGATGGATTCCCTACCTGGTTTAAATTGAAACAAAATTTACCAGAGGAGTCTCTAACACTGCTATAGGCGGTGGTGCTGCAAAGTGGTGGTCCGAAAAAGACTGCCTCATTCACTATCAAATGAAAGCACAAAACCAACTCGAGAATACCTTGTAAACAGCTGCTTAAATCTTCACCCAGTGCATGACTGTAGCTCTTGATACATCCTTTGAAACAACTCAGTTGATCGATAAATTCACCCAATACATGACTTTAGCCCTTAAGTGGGTCTGTTCCAAATTCAATCAAATGTGGAAAAAAACTACATGGAATAAAATTCAAATAAAACATTGCATGAACCTGGTTGTAGTGGCGAGTTTATGTTTAAGTATGGTGGGTCACTTGACCCGCCTTTTTTATTTTTGTATAACAAGTTATATAAAACTAAAAATGGTGACCTATCTAAAAAAATACAAATGAACCACCTTAATATCTTTGGCAATATATATATATATATATATATATATATATATATATATATATATATATATATATATATCTTTTAATGTATTATCTAATGTGCATAGCCAAATACAGTTTAAAATAAAAAAAATTGAATCACAAATCAATCATTTCACAACACATTAACGTTTGATCTTCAGTTTTTCATAATCGTCGATCCAATTTGCAACCACTGTTGTAAATATATTCTACTTTGTTAACTTTGTAAAAACTAATTAAACTATGTGGAAATTTTATTTCCAATTCCAATTTTCCATGAGCATCAAAAAGTCAACAAAGATCATTATTGTAATTCATGAATTGAATATTCATAATTTAGTTGTAGGTTTAATTGCATTCACGATTGGGTTTCATTTCTTTTGTTTTTCTAATTATTATTTGTTAATATTTATTCCATAAGCATTAAAGGCAAAGCTATCGAATGTTTGCTAATACTTTGTGAATTTATTTTTCATATTTTTTATTGTTCCATGAATTCACATTAGGTTTTTTATTGTTTTAAAATTTCAATGTGAATTAATTATTTGATTGTTTTTTATATTAGAAATTAAAATCAAGAATGACTATAAAAATAATTTGATTTTTTTGCTTAGACAATTGGATCCGATCAAAACCGTAACTTATATATACTATCAGCTTCATTTAAATAGTGAACTATGTGATTTTACGTTCTAGATTCACCACTGCCTGGTTGGGATTGAAAACCGTCACTGGAACCACTTTGTCGGAGCTATACGTGCCACCGGCCACAATGGCACGTGGCGGATTGCTTGGTAGTTTTCGGATCTGTTTTGAACAAAAAAAAATGAGGAGTATTACCTGAGACCGACGGAGAAGTAAAGAAGGGCGAATGGGGGCTTCTTGTGAGTCGAAACGGGTGACGATAGGGAGGGACCCGACAATACTCGTTGGCTCTTCTTCTCCGACAAACAAGGCTTACAGAGCTATTGTGATCGAGGCCTGTTTCAGTGGACTCAATGATCGATCAAAGGGTGTTTGGGTTTGCTATTTAACACACGAGAGGAGGGGTTGGATAGGTTAATTAGAGGCAGCAGCCTCCGGTCTCTGTTTTGGTTTCTCCAGCGGTCACAACAACAAAGAGAGAGAGAGAGAGAGAGAGAGAGAGAGAGAGAGACGTGGCCCACTTTTTTATTTAATAATAATATTATTATTATTAAAAATTGAAAGAAAATGAAAAATAAAACCATTAAGGGTATAATAGTCTTTTTAGTTTGGACAGGAACCAAAACTACAAACAAACTAGCTCAAAAGAACTAACAATAAAAAAAAAATCGGGATTCGGACTAAAACTCCAAAAAATTGCATACCACAGGGATATTTTTGCAATTTTGTTTAGTACCGGTATACAAAGAAAAAGAATGGTTTTAACTCCTTTTTAATGGTTCATATGCCTTTACCGATCAGACACTCTAATTTAATAAATCTAAAGCTCTTATTAGAGATAAGCGGTTTATAAGTCCCCCCATTTCCTCATGATAACCCGCAATAATTGGCTCTACACATAATACAAATCATTTGACAATATAAAGTCATTTCTAGTATAATAAACTTTCTTTTGTGAAAGTGAAACTTGAAAATTCACACATGGAATATAAAACATGACACATTACACCTTCAGAAAATGCGGGACATCAAACTCGCTAAATGCAAAATAAATTGTGTAGTCTTCTTTAGCAAATATCCACCTAACAAGATTAAAAAACTAGCCCAATTTATTAAGAGTTTTCTAAAAATTAACCTAAAGTCCCTCACATAATCATTAATTTCGAAGTGTTCACTGAGAAATGGGAATAGGCACTACGAATGCCTAACACAATATTTTTTTAGAAAAAAAAAAAAAAATTTAATGTGTTCTGTGAAAAATGCTCTTCCAAACAAAAAAATATATATATATTGCAAAATTCACCCTGCATCAAGAAATTGTTCGTTGTACTTTAAAATTGTTCAAATATTATTTTCACAGCATAAATAATATTATATTAAAACAAAGTGTTTAAATGAGATTTTATATAAAATCTTATGTAAAATGAGTAAAAGTACAGAAAATTAATGACTTATATGTAGAAACCCATTTGGCATTATTGTGGGGATTTTCTTAAATTTTAGCTTTTTTTCAACTAAAAAAAATAAACCAAACAAGTGACATCAATATAATCTTTACAATCTCTTTTCTCACACCCACGAATTCATTTTCGCAATTTCCAATCAATATTTCAAACAATAAACATAATTTAAACACTCACACATACACATACACATAAAGATTGTTAACCAACATTTATTCCGTACATTTTTTTAAAGTTCCCTACAAATCGACCAAAAAAAGGTCTTCAAAAACCAACAATGTTGACAAGTGGCATACACACTCCATCTATTCGCCTTCAATGTACAACTACAACTGCTTCCTATGCAGATAAGACTTGTACATTGTACTAGGGTATATGATTCAATTCAAATAAACCTTTTTTTCTTCCAAAAAAGAATGGAGCTCATCTTATTAACAAGTACAAAAAACACAAAAAAAAAAAAAAAAAAAAAACACCAACAAATCATTCGTTTTTCAAGATTTCGTGGACTTCATCTCTTGTGGGCATAGCTGGAATGGCTCCTTTCTTTGTTACAGTTAGGGCCCCACATGCGTTTGCAAAAACAAGTGCTTCTCTTAGTTTTGCCTCGTCCTATATTACAATAAAAAAAAAAAAAAAAAAAAAAAATTGTTTCGATTATTTCAGACACAAAAATGGATCGATTATATGTATATAAAAGGCAATATTATTATGTTTTCTCTATCGCATAAATTGTAGCCATATTTGATTTAAGGGATAATGACAAAATTGACCAAAAATGGGGGAGTCCTTATCACCTTTTTTTTACCACATTTTGAAAATTTATCACAAAAATGACTACATTTTGAAAATCACGGATTTTTATCTTTATGTGAAAATGAAGTGTGAAAATGAAGGAACATAATTTCTTTTTCACGAAGAAAAAAAAAAGTTGTGGATTTTTTTTCCTTTTTAAATATTTTTCTAGTCGAAATTTTTTTCTTACAAAATTGCTTTATCACCCACAACAATATTCGTAAAAAGATTGTGAATTTACTTTTTTTTGGGAAAAAATTACATCGTTTATCGTAATAACGACGTCATGTCACTAAAAAAAACATGTCATTTAACATTTTCAAGAAAAAGAAATCGTGAACTTTTTTTTTCGTTTTTAAAATTTTTCTAGTGGGTACCACTAATAAAGAAACTTCATGAAAAAAAAAAAAGTATTTCCGAAATGTTCAAAAGTCTGTCATTTTGCAAGGTCATTTTACTGATTAGCCCTTGATTTAATAATCATTATGTGGGTCCCAAATGGCATGAAAATATGATTGTAGGTCTAATTTATAATTTATAATTATATACCTTATAAAGATTTGTATCCAAAGCTAAATTGCTTAAAATTCCACCAACAAATGCATCTCCAGCACCCGTAGTATCAACAGGCTTTACTTTAACACTCGGAACTCTACCCTTAAATTCCTACACAAATTACCAAAACAATCGTATTGACTATTTACTATTTAGCCCCCATAAATATACGACTAAATTTATCATAGAAACAAAAAATGGGGTCCACAAATAAATGAAAAACAAAACGTTACCTTTGTATAATATCTACACCCATCTGGCCCTTCACTTACAAGCAAAAGCTTAAGATTTGGATGAAAAAGTTTATTCAACACCACGTCATCATCATAAGGATCGTCACCCCCGGTCAAAAACGTAATTTCATCCTCACTTACCTACATATACACGGTAAAAAATATATATATAACTCTAATGTTTTTTTAATTACTTTTATGCCCTTGGAAATGGAAGGTACCTTGATGATATCTGCTTGATCCCATATGCTCATTATGCCTTGTCGAGCCGCATCCTCTGAGGGCCATAATGGTAATCTCAAATTCACATCATAAGATAGGATGCTTCCCGATTTCTTTGCTATTGCCATTGCAACTAGATGTGTTGATTTGCATGGCTCCTCTATCAAGCTAATAGAACCATAGTGGAATATACTCGCCTAAATATCAAAATTATATTTGGATTAAAAAATTATTCGTGTTCGAAAAAAAAATCATTAAAACTGTATTTGTTACACAGGATATGACTAGACAAACTTTTTAAAGCTATTCATATCTTTTTTGGCCCGTTGGTACATGTACTTGTACCTTGTTCCACCTTTTTAGGTAGTAAGACAAATAATTACAATTTTTGTGTCTTTTTGTACAATTAAGTCCTAATCCCATATGTCATATCCTGTCCTGTATAACAAATGGACCTGCTTGATAGGATTCAAATCAAGTTGTGATTCACGAAGAACCATGTGTTTGTTACACAGGATATGACTACTAGAAAATTTTCTAAAACTTTTTTTTTACGATAAAAGATAAGAAGAATATTCACATCTTTTGCACAAAAAACAAATTCATGTCTCGCCTTGTTCCATCTTTTCAGGTGAGTACAGGTACTTGTTCTACCTTTTTGGGTAGTGGGATACATAATTACAGTTTTTGTGTCAGATATCATGTCATGTCCTGTAAACAGATAAATATGTACCTGCTTGATAAGATTCAAATCAAGTTCCGATTCACGAAGAAGCATGTCGGCACTCGGATTACGAAAAAACATAAATTCCCTCTCGCCATCGGATTTTAGAGTAACAAAAGCCAATGCGGTTCTTGCATTTTGGTCAAATCGCATCCCAGAGTTATCAACTTTGTTTTTCTTCAAAATGTCAGCCAACATGTGACCAAATTCATCATCACCCACCTGAAAAAAACCAAAAAATGTTAAAACTTTCTAGGAAACGTAACCAAATTGCATAATCTTTAGATCAAAAATTAGGGGTTTTTTTTTTTTTTTTTTTTTTTGAGGTACCTTGCCTATGAAAGCGGAGGAGCCTCCCAATCTTGCTATACCAACAGCGACATTAGCAGGAGCACCACCAGGAGCTTTCTTGAAATCGGGTGCTTCTGCAAGTGAAACCCCAGAAATTGAAGGAACGAAATCAATCAACATTTCCCCAAAGCATACGACAAGTGGATTGGGTTTGATTGGCTCTGGACCTCCATTTGAATGCAAGGATAAGTCTTTCAGATCATCTGAATGCATGAAAATTGATTCGAGATTCGTTAGGAAAAGGAAATTGTTGAAATCTTTATGAGAATATGAGTACACGAGGTGGTAGGTATTGTGAAACGAACTAAATCAAGAAAATGAGTAATGATCATTTATGGCGAAGAACCCTCCCTCCACTTTAAGGTTTTCCACGTGAATTCCATCTACTTGTAACTCTTGTCTAACCGAAAATCAGCGAGAAATTTTGATCATTATCAAATATGGGAATTTCAAGTTGTATAGTTATTAAAGGAATCCGCCATTAAAGCGATTAACAAGTTTCCGAGATCCAAACAAGAAAACTAGAATTCGTTTTCAGTTTTCATTACCAATTGGATCTGAATCGGATATAAACGAAAACATGCCAAGAACAGATCGATGGGACTCAAAATCGAATATACTAAAGCTTGCCGACGTAATAGAGACCTCGAAGAAGAATAAAGAACGAACTAAAAAACGAATAATTTATCAGGATGTAAGATACCCACGTATCAGAATAGAATCTTCTTCTAGAACAAACGGAAAACCCATGAAAAGAACATATCAAAAGAGGTAAACAGTAATAGTAGAAATGGATGAATTGGTGAAAGAAAAAGGAAAAAAAAAAAAAAAAAAAAAAAAAACAGGGTAAGAAGTAAGAACCTGAAGTTGGAATATCCGCCATGTCAGTATGAACTTGATATAGAAAAAACTCACAATCGATAGCTGTGAATAAAGGGGGAATTACAGTTCAGGGTAATGATGATCAATGAAAAATGGTGTTGATTTGAATAAGATGTAAGAGAATTAGTTACCAAAATTAGCGAATAAGTTCGGTGAAATCCAGGAGAAGGGGGTTTGAAAAGATGAAGAAGAAAGAAGAGAAAGAAATGGTTTCCCCTATTTATGATTTGCAAATGTGTCAAGATGATGATCTTGATCGACTCCGATTCTGATTCCGATTCTGGTTTTTCTCCTCTAGATTTCAGTTCCTATACGGAGACTACGAGCACACAGAAAGCGTAGGCGTTGTTTTTGGCTTTGATTTTCTTTTCTTTTTAATTGTTTATGTAAAGTTTTAACCTTTTCGTAACAAAATATAATCATTTCTATTTGTCTTAAAATTGAATTTTGTATTATTATTTTGTATAATTACTAATATTACTAATGTCAAGGAGTGGATACCCGTCTTCTCAATCGTTCGATCTTTAGATGCCATCTTCACCGTATAAACCTGCGATTTACCGTTTTCCTACCGATTCTTCGTCTCTCCCCCACGTTCTGCATAATCGGCGGTTGACTTCTTCAACTTCCCCACTTCTTCATATTCCCCATGTTTCTTGTAGAGGTTATTTCACCAATAGCGGTTCTCTTCTTGCCCAACTGATACCTCTATAAAACACGTCTCTTTTCAAAATCACACACCTCTTAACCATCTCTCTATAAGCAGGTTCATGGAAAACTTCCACAATCACTCCATCTCAAACCCCGACACCTAATTAGATTCCTCCCACTTCACAGTTTCAATTCCTCTGTGATCCATAGTAAATCAGTAACTACAGTAGCCACCATCTATTTCTTCATGCATTTTCCTTAGTATCCCTGATCTCAATTCCCCTACCCACGATAATCTTCCCAGAATTCTGGTGTTGGTAAAATTTTCCAGTTTTAATGAAGGTGAAGAAACAACTTTGGGTGTTGATTTCCAATTTTTAATGAATGGTTCATGATTTCGTTCTCTTTGCTTTCTGATTTTGCATGTAAAATGTCTATAATGATTTATATCGTATGTATAATGTCGCTCTTTTTTATGTTCAAAGCTTGAAGTTGGGTCCAAATTAGGGTGGGAGGGGGAAATGGGGCAGCAAGGCTAGAGGCACCACCTAAGCTTAGGGCATTCCACATGATCCTCGACGAAGCAGACAATAACACGAGAAATCAGGAATAAAGATTTCATATCCAAAGGTCAAATTATGATGTAACTTATGGTGTAGCCTATTATAGGCATAGTATAGGGTGAACTTGAACTTTTGTGTAATAGTCTCAAGAATTAATATAAACCCTGGTTTTGTTATCTGATGTATTGAGTGACACCAATCGGAAGATATCGAAGGTGGCATCTTGCCTTTAGTTTATGTTTGATATAATAACAGTACATTTAAATGAGTACGGTATGTCTTAAGTACACCTTCTATTGGCAGGATGATGGAACGGTATGCGAAACTCTTGAAGTTGTCCTATCGCCTAGAAATCCCATCACCAACCGAGTTGAATTAGAATTAATGATAGAAGATACGCATGGAAGAAGCCCTAATAGAGTCTAGGAAAATTTTTACGATTAATTAGACACATTCGTATGTGTTAAATTGTTTTGTGATTTTAGGACTTGGGGACTTAAAAAAAAAAAAAACAGTGTGCGAAGGCTAATGTCTACATGGCGTAGACAGAATAGGCCAATAAAATTTGCAAATAGAAAACAAACAAAACCTTAGTGTTAAAGGATTCTGACATTTTGAGAAATAAATAAAAAATGATTGTTTCCTTATTTAAAGTTAGGACTAGTATCATAAAAGTTCTAAATTTTAACGTGAAATTGGAAAAAACCCTAATATTTTTTTTTATTATTATTGCTATGACCACAACTTTCTCGTAAAATTATCACTCTAACCAACTTAACAAGTTTCATGGTTAACTTTGTTAACTTATTTACAAAATCAGTCATAAAATTGGGTTTAAAGTTCCAATTTGATCCCTGTTGTTTGTAAAAATTATACCAAATGGTTTTTTAACTTTATTTTTCATTTTTGACAAAATTGCAAAAATGGTAATTGTGGTTTGTCGATTTCTTTGGGTAAGGTCCAAAAAAATTATTAGCAAAAAATGTCATCATCTGGTGGTTTAGGTGTGGTTTTAATCTATATTTCGTTAACTTTAATATTTGACTGTTAATTTTTTTAAATTGACAATGTTACCATTAGGGATCATTTATGCACTTGTCTCTTTTTACCAAACTACAATGATCATTTTTGCAATTTTCTTTTTTATTTTATTGAAATATTATACATTAATTCTTCTTCTTTTTAATTTTATTAAATTATAATACATTAAATCTTTTTTTAATTTCATTTTTATTGGATTATTTTTTAATTTATTATTATATATTAATTAGTTTTATTTTTAATATATAATATTTATATATAAATAAATATTATATTATTATATTATTAATTTCTTTTAATTAATTATTTTTTAATTTTTTATTGGATTATTTTTTAATTTCTTTTTCATTAGATTAAAATTACCATAAAAATAAATGAAAAGGTCATTCATTTTTTTATTGGATTATAAATTTTGTTTAAATGTGTAATATTAATTCTTTTTTATTTTAATGGTTCCACCACAAAGTCATTAAAATGCGTAAAAGTGTCGTACCCCATCGTTGAAAATCATCAGGACTACTGCCAATCACCTTCATCGAAATTTCTACGGAAAGACTACCATCTTGTTTCACCAAACATCTTATGAATGTGCTTTAATCATTGACACCACGGCTTTCCATTCTGGCTTCAAACCGTTCATGAATGTGACCTTTTGTTCAATTAATTCGCATCATATCTTATTTTTAACCATCCTGCTTAAAAGATGATTATATCGGTTGAACGTTTGGTCAAGTTTCTCTTCAGGCTTTTGGACAAAGTCTCCGAACTCAAAGAGAAGTAGCGTCTGAATGGAATGCTCAAGATCAGCATCACTAGAATAGAGTTCTTTTAGCCTGTCTCATCTCTTTTGTTGTCTCACAGGCACTCACCAGACGTAAGGTGTCTGGAGGCAAAGCGAATATGATTATCCACATTGTCTTTACATTACTGATTAGCTTGTCTTTTTCATCCTGTGGGACGTATGTAACTTCAAGAAGAATTTTGTTATAATCGACTTGAGTTTTACTAACTTTTATTGTACCAATATGAGGAAACGTCTGAACAGTCATGGCATCCCATATCAAGGAACCATTATCTTCAAGCCCTAAAACGTAGTCCTCGAAGTGTAGCGCCCGCAACTCATATTAATGCGGAAAAAGAATCGGGATTCTTGTTGTGAGAATCTTCTGAATGCATGATGTCGATTCAATAAAAACCTGTAATGAACCAGATGTGTAAAACTGAAATCATGTTTAGGGTAGAATCAAGATCTAGATACAACGTCAACAGTCGTTAAAAACGATGAAGACGACAGATAATACATTCAATAAAAGCGGAAACCCTAATAGCTCTTTAACAGAAGAGATGCATATAGTTTACACAATCTCCTGCTCTAATACTAATTGATAAGTTTAAAACTAATAAGATCGATAGATTCAAACATGTAAAATAATCAAACACGAAGAATGAAGGTCAAAGTTGTGCTAAATGATTAAATTTCAATGCCTTAGAAGAGCTCAACTAAGAACTGCTACTGTAAAGGCAATATAGGGTTACAAGAAGATCGATACAAAACACAGTGCATGCATGCACTATAAATACCCTAACCCTAGTATGTAACATCCAGAAATAAACGTGTTCATTTCAAGGAAAAGAGTTGGTCAAGCAAGCTTGGATCAAGAGGGTGCTTCAAGATCTTGCATCATAATCATCTTACAGAGCTCTTAAAGTTCGGGAGGTTGCGGATCATTAAGAGTGCAATATTCGTATTCTTCGGATGGAGGTGAGTCTTCTCACCATACCCATGGGTCTACAGAACCAAGGCTGACCCATTATGTGTTTATGGTATATGTGCAATCACTTTGTGTTTTGATATGTAATGTGATCGTATGTTTTGCATGAAGACCCCGGGGGGAGCCCGTGGCATTGGATGTAAGACCATGTGGGGTAGCCCATGGCAGTCATAGGTAAAGACCATGTAGGGTAGCCTATGGCATTGTATGTAACACCATGTGGGGTAGCTCATGGCAGTCCTAGGTAAAGTCCATGTGGGGTAGCCCATGGCATTCTTGTTGGTTCTATGTATGTATGATCTATGTGATATGTTACTAGGATATGTGTATGTGTGGTATGTGGTATGCTATGGGGAACTCACTTAGCATTTTGCTTACAGGTTGTTGAATTGTTTCAGGTACATCAGAGCCAAAAGGCAAGGGCAAGGCGTGATGGCGCGGCGTGCACTCTATCTATCTCTCTTTTTCACTAATATGTTTGGGGACACACTCTGATAATTTATATAATGTAATGGATGGTGTTTTAAACTAAACATAGGGTTCACGGTTTTATGTCAATGTGTTATTTAAATTAAATGAAAATTTTTGTTGTAAAATTTGGGCTGTTACATAGCACAATAAAGAAACCTGGTGGACAGGCCAAACCCGTTACTAATGGACTATAATAATGCAATACAAAATTGACACAACACCATATAGCCCAACAACAACCAATATTGTGTTAACCACCAGGAGGTCTGATCCAAACACGCCTGGTCAGTTCCTCCATTCGTTGCTTTTTACCACCTTACGCCGCCACATCATCATGTTAGAAATCGTCGATCGTTGCCTACAGTCTATCATTCTCAACCAAAACCACATCAATTGATTACCCACACTGCCGTCAAATGGGGACAATGTTAGATATAAGGTTTTCAAAGCACCAGATCTTTTCAAGTAGTACATGCTTGAAGCGTCGATGTTATAAGGTTGTGCATGGGTTGTGGAAGCCAACGAATGGAGGAACTGACCAGGTTGTATGATTTTGTGGCGTAAGTTGGTCCTGATAATTTTTGACAGAGAGATGCGGTGCTTTTGTGTATTTCGAAGATTTTGTGGTATAACCAATAAATTAAAAATAATTAATATTATAGAACCAATATAATGTATTATTTTTAATTTATTGGTTATTGGAAATTAACAAAGTAAATTCGATGCTATATTGCGCTGTCTTTCTCCTTAATACAATCTAACATTTTTTATTTAAGAATGATATAACTAATACTTTGTTAATTTACTTTTTTCATTTCTATTTGAGTCGTGATCACGAAAGAAAAAAAACGTGAAACTTTTAGTTTTTTCCACAAAATCAAAACAATTAAAATATTATTATCATTTAATTCTCTATCTTTTGCAACGAAAAAGACAAATCTTGTTATTTTAGCTTACAAAGTAACCCAAATTTTCTTCATACCTGAAAACAATCATTGATCTTGCAATGAGTCTAATGACCCCAGTGAAATTTTTTATTTGTTTCAAAACCTTGTATTTTTTCACTTAAAAAAAAAAACCAAACCAGTAATCTTTCGAATTAAGA